TGACACAGCTAAAAAGAGAGCTATATAATAAGGTCTGTTTACCGGGTCAGTTTACCTGATATGATCATTCTAAGCCTACAGGTGAAACTCGAATAATTCGAATATCGTGCAAAAGTTAATTTATTTCACTAATGCAACTTAAAAGGTGAAACTAATATATGAGATAGACTCATTACATGCAAAGCAAGATAGTTCAAGCCGTGATTTGTCATAATTGTGATGATTATGGCTTACAGATCATGAAAACCCCAAATCCACAATCTCAGAAAATTAGAAAGGATTTGGGGTTTTATGAGCTGTAAGCCATAATCATCACAATTATGACAAATCACGGCTTGAATTATCTTGCTTTGCATGTAATGAGTCTATCTCATATATTAGTTTCACCTTTTAAGTTGCATTAGTGAAATAAGTTAACTTTTGCACGATATTTTAATTATTCGAGTTTCACCTGTATATAAAAGTTAACTGCACTTTTAATGCAGTTACACTAAAGCTGGCCATACACTAGGTGGGGTTGAAGAAAAAAAAAAAAAACTTCGAATCCCCCCTGCCGGGTTATTGTATTTTGACAACAGGCTGCAGTCACTGTTCGTGCGACAATTTTCAGTCTGGCTCCTTCAACTTTTGTCAAACGGAGAAGTGCCGGCAAGACCACACACAGCTTGAATTTTGGCTAAGACAAGAGGACATGCCAGCTTTACAAAGCAAAGTTACCACCTCGGTTTAGTAAAAGTCACTTGCCTAGAGCTCATGGATACATTTTTAGTGATGAGAATTACCGTTTTTTTAATATACTGTTTCTGTACATTGTAACATTGATGTACATGTTGCATTGATAGGTCCATTTTAAATGCTTTGTAAATGCTTGCAGAATCTGATACTTCGTCAGACTAGTGTTTAAAAGCCAAGACTGCGGAATTCTCATAAGTGTGAGGTTTAACGGTGTTTGGAAATGTCTGGCTACTAGAAGTGTTGCAATGGATCACAAGCACTCCATACAGTGTACAGACCTTCTGCTACTGGTAGTGGTGCCTGAAGTGATAACACAGATGGTGCCGCGTCACAGGAATGACCATTAATAAGTGAAGAAATCACAAGCACTCCTGAGTTCCAAGAATGTCAGACATTGTATATTGACATCCAATCAGGTCTCGCAATGTATAGTAACGTTTCGGAATGCAAAACGGTTCCTCCTTCTTTGTTTACCTAAAGAAGATACTGTTGTGCGTTTTGATACATTGCTATGTATTGTGAGACCTGATTGGATGTTAATAAACTAGGTCTGACATTCTTGGAACTCAGGAGTGCTGGTGATTTCTTCACTTATTACTGATCTGCCAACGATTCCATAGCAGTCACTGCAGCAACCACCATCCATCCCTTGGATCCTTTCTGGTTAGAAGTGTGATAGGTTATGGACTGAACAGGAATGACCATGCCACCCTGAGGAAAGGACCGCGCATGGCCCCGGAACGATGGCTGCATGTGACACGATACATTAATTAAAGCGACCATGCATACAAGTTGAGTGCTGGTGATTTCCACTTCTGGCTACTAGAACTGTAATTTCAATAGAAAAAAAAATGTATAGCTATATTTTAAAAGATATAGAGCATTGAAGGTCAAACATATAATATATATATAAAAGCCTTTAATCTTGTAAGATGTCTCCATGTCGGAATGATGAAAACAAATCCCCTCTTATTATAACACTGAACAATTTAAACATGAATACCGTATATACTCGAGTATATGCCGAGATTTTCAGCCCATTTTTTTGGGTGAAAAGTGTCCCCCTCGGCTTATACTCGAGTCAGCGCCAGCGCGTCATCTTACTTACCTCACCGAGCGTCGCGTCACTGCTGCTCCGGTGTGCGGCACTCCGTGATTCAACAAAAACATTTCTTTCAAAGATGTCTATTTTACAGCTTACTACACCAAATCATGTACATCAAAATGCCTGATTATTATTATTAATACAGGATTTACTGTATATAGTCCCAACAGTTTGTGCAGCGCTTTATAACATAGGGAAGACATTATAGTTACAATACAATTCAAAACACAATGGTAAGGAAGGCCCTGTCTGTGAGGGCTTACAATCCAAGAGGGAGGGGCAAGTGATACACGAGGAGGTGGCTGTGTATGGATGAATTGATTTGGAAAGAGATAGTTCAGTGGTTAGTTTGAAGTGGGATAGGTTTCCCTTAAGAGAGGAGTCTTTAGTGATCTCCTAAAGGCAGTCAGAGTAGGAGATAGACAGACAAGTGGTAAGGAGTTCCAAAGAATGGGCGAGACTCTAGAGAAGTCCTGGAGGTGAGCATGAGAGGAGTTGACGAGAGAGCTAGAGAGCAGGAGGTCTTGGTAGGAGCAGAGAGGACGTTTAGGGTGATACTTTGAGACATGGTTGGAGATGTAACCTGGGGCAGAGTTGTGGATGGCTTTGTAAGTGGTTGTTAATATACTGAATTTTATCCTTTGGGCGATTGGAAGCCAGTGGAGGGATTGACAGAGGGGGGTTGCAGATACTGAGCAGTTAGTTAGGTGGACAAGTCTAGCAGCAGCATTTATGATAGACTGAAGGGGGGATAGCCTGTGTAGAGTTAGGCCAACGGGGAGAGAGTTACAATAGTCAAGACGAGAGATAACCAGTGAGTGGATGAGCAGCTTTGTGGTTCCATTGATCAGGAAGGGGCGTATTTTGGAGATGTTACGAAGGTGAAGACAGTAGGATTTGGATAGTGTTTGGATGGGGGTGAAGAAAGGTGAGGTCCAAGACAAGGATGACACCTAGCACCATGGCATGGGGGGATTGTGGGGGTTGTGTTATCCATCCTGATCGAAAAGTTGGGGGAGGGTGCACAGGGTGAGGGAATACCATGAGCTCAGATTTTGACAGATTGAGCTTTAAGAAGTGTTGTGACATCCAGACTGATATGTCATTTAGTAAATTAGTGATACGCAAGTAGACCGGGGTGGTGAGTTGTTGGAGAGGTATATTTGAGTGTCATCAACATAGAGATGGTATAGGAAGCCATGTGAGGTTCGTTTAAGGCACAACAACAGCCAACATTTTCTTTTGAAAAAAGATGGAAAAGCTCAGAACCTCCATCAGGATTTTATTATTGTTTATGTAGCCGATGGGAAGTTTTTCCTGACTTCCTGTGTGGTCACTGAGACAGAAAGTGAGCAACATTTCTCTGACAGGTGCTCAGGCAGTAATACAACATTTTTCAATAGACTGCATAAGAGTTAGAACCTTTGCTCTAGGTTTTTATTACTATGTGAGTCACTGTCATGGAGATGTTCTCACTTTCTTTGTTGTTACCATAGGAGTGAGGTGAAATATGCCCACCAGAGACACAAACTGAAATAAAAAACTTACAGAGGTGATTACCCTTTCATTGTGGCTGAAACTAGGCTGTGTATAGATTTCTGCAGCACAGAAAAAGTATTCACAAAAGCCAAGTGGCCGTACATCTTCAAATGTTTCCTAGCCAACAAAAGGCATGAGCTCAGATGTAAATCTAGTCCCTGCGAGGTCCTGCACAATCACCTTCTCTTCTATGATCCACAACATCGAAACCATCAATGATGTGGTCCGTACATAATATTAGAAGATTGCTTATCCCCCCTCACCCCTGGAGTCCATCCTCATGCATGTATTCTTTATTTTTCTTTTTATATACTTTCTAGAAGTCTTCAGGTTGGTCAAGCAGGGTCCTCTTGACCTCTTTTCTGGTAATGGGCATACTCAATAATGCAGAGATCATTGTGTAATGACAATGTAATATGGGACATCATTCAACCCAGAAGAGGCATGGTGCTAGATCTCAAAGTGTGCGAGTCTTTGAGGGACAACCCCTGAGCCAAGGTTAGTTTAGTTGTTTGTATTTTTATATCCAAGTTCGGCTTTATAGGTTATGTAAGCATAACAACTGGCTTACAAAACAAATTCTGTGTAAAATCCTTATGCCCATTAACATTCCTAAATCAAAATTGTGCGTAGTTAACAATCAGCTTCCTTTACTTTATGATTTGTCAAGACAAAAGAAAAGTTGCCTGCAAATAGGCTGGTCTTGTTGCTATGGAACTCATACATTTTGTATGTTTGACAGCAACCTGAAAACCACTGGCACACTCTGTTCTGAAGTTTCCACGGTATTTGTTCAATAGTTCTTATGCATTTTAAGGCAGTAGCTTCAAAGGAACTAGTAGGAAATGGTTGGTGTGAGACCTTTAGATAAACTGATTGGGGAAATGGGCACAATTGACTCCATGTAGTCAATTAGGTTGGAGTTCTATTTTAATGCAATAATAAAAAAATAAAAAAAAACATGTTGCCTTAAGCATGTGTCTAGTTTACTATATTGTAAATAAAGCTCTGGCCTGAGCTGTAATGTCAGCTATGGCACGATTAGCTTACTTGCTTCAGGCAACAGATGTCTCTCACGAGGTTTATGCAGCAGTACATCAAAACACAATGAAATACTACATGTTTAGCACAGGGTATTCAGTGTCTGAAAAGTCAAGCATGGGAAGTACATAGTCACACATAGCACTAAAAAAAATCCCACTGGTCACCTCTCGGGGAATGGCATTTGTATTAACTGTTAGAAGTGCGTATTTGTATTTATTATAAACATGGCCAAATCTCACAGAACTTTACATAGTATGTATAACAATTTATGTCAGTCTTGGCTTGAGAGTAGCATCAGTATGAGTCATAGATAAAAGATACATCTGATGTAACAAGCTTGTTATAATATGTACATATTTGTGTATGATATTCTGTATATTAATAATACTTTCAATTTGTTTTGGACCCTGTTACACATATTTCTTTGGGTGACAAATGAGATAACTCCAACTCTGATAGCTTTGTAATATGTTATTTCATCCTAGAAAGACTAATCTCTAATAAGATGTTATAGCAATACATATTACATTATGTGAACAGGTATATTCTAGTGTACCTTTAGTTAGATATCACTTACCGTGACTTCCTGCTCATACGTCCAGACTCCACACGCTAACTCAATGCAGAAAATTACCAACAAGCTTCCAAAATACTGCAAAACAAAAAAGATTTATAAATAGAACACTTACAATGCAATCTAGAAAATGCTGTCCTGTAATACTTCATGTATGAAATCTCCGAAAAGAATCACACAACGTAAAAACAAGCATGACATATAATAAAAGTTAATTCTAAATGCCTTCTCTGCTACTCACTCCTGTATGACACTCTGAGCAACACGCTTGGAAAGCATGCTGTTAGACTTTTCAATAAAGAATACATAAAACTGAGGCTTTTAATGGATTACGTGACGGGGTTCAGCCATAACCATGTAACTCTTTGATTGCTAATAGTAAAATATTAAAAGTACAGAATTCAATTGTAGATGCACAATTCTTATTCAATAAAGAATTGTTATTATGGAATTAATGCGGAACTAAACTTATCTAGGTGGCACTGTAGGTAAACTCTGAAATTACAGTTTCCATTGTACATAAAACCCAAAAGTTTCAGAAGGGCATTTCTAATAAAACAGCAAATTTCCTTTTATATCTTGAACTTTATTTGTCACCGTCTCTTGAATATCAACAAATTTCCCCAGGGCCACTAATACCATTGAAGACTATAAAGAAAAATGAGAGCTAGAAAATGAAAGCAGAATCTAAGGCAAGGATCACATCTGCGCATTAACGCATGCACATTAACTTGCGTTACATTGCATGTTAACATACACTATATTGCCAAAAGTATTGGGACACCCCTCCAAATCATTGGATTCAGGTGTTCCGTAAATTTTCCTGCTACTAAATATTCCACGGTCAACTGTTAGTGGTATTATAACAAAGTGGAAGCAACTGGAAACAATGGAGCGCACAGTGCGCAGAAGTCACCAGCTGTCTGCAGAGTCAATAGCTACAGAAATCCAAACTTGGTGTGGCCTTCAGATTGGCACAACAACAGAGCATAGAGAGCTTCATGGAATGGGTTTCCATGGCCGAGCAACTGCATCCAAGCCTTACATCACCAAGTGCAATGCAAAGCTTCAGATGCAGTGCTGTAAAGCACGCCGCCACTGGACTTTAGAGAAGTGGAGACATGTTCTCTGGAGTGACGAATCCCACTTCTCTGTCTGGCAATCCGATGGACGTGTCTGGGTTTGATGGTTGCCAGGAGAACAGGACTTGCCTGAGTGCATTGTGCCAAGTGTAAAGTTTGGTGGAGGGGGGGATTATGGTGTGGGGTTGTTTTTCAGGGGTTGGGCTTGGCCCCTTAGTTCCAGTAAAGGGAATTCTTATAGCATCAGCATACCAAGACATTTTGGACAATTTCATGTTCCCAACTTTGTAGGAACAGTTTGGAGATGGTCCCTTCCTGTTCCAACATGACTGTGCACCAGTGCACAAAGCAAGGTGCATAAAGAAATGGATGAAAGAGTTTGGGGTGGAGGAGTTTGACTGGCCTGCACAGAGTCCTGACCTCAACCCAATAGAACACCTTTGGGATGAATAAGAGCAAAGACTGCGAGCCAGGCCTTCTCATCCAACATCAGTACCTGACCTTACAGATATCTTTGCCTTTTGGACTAACTATGGACATAGTCAAAAACAATATTTGATGCAGCCTGTCGGTAGCAATAACACAGCAGTTTTTGTTTTTTTTTAATCCCACAGTAACATATTTTATTACCTGCTGATCCTGCCAGCATACCCATGTGTTCCATTTCCTTTAACAGGCCAAGTTGTCTAGCAAAAGTGGCAGTTACATGGGTTGGGACAAACCATTTAACACTGGTGGGGCTGCTTACAACAGCCATCTTTAATTAATGTGTTTTACGCTTTCTTACTAAAAGAATAAAATGAAGGTAACTACTTAACCTGTTTCTGCCTGCAATGCACATATACAGTATGTGGCAGCATGGTACTGTGCTTTAACACCGTATTGCACGTGTATGCATACAAATGGTGTTACTGTTTTGTGCTGGGGAATCCCCAGTGCTGTGACCATGCTGTTGTCGACAGACAGCTTCCACATGATTGGGAAGCCCAGGAAACACCTCTGGCATTAAAGTGAAAATAAAGAATATCCCCCCCAATGCAAGTGTAAGGGCTTACCTTAAAGTATGCCTCTTGATCAGATCATTATCTTCTTTACTTTACTTTAATTTCTCTCTTTCTAGCACTTCCTGTCCTAGTTGACTTACATTGACTTACCTTGAGTCTCTCCCCGTCTACCGGCTGAAGATCTGTACTGTGCATGCGCCTGCCCCATGATCCTTTGCGGCCACCCGAGATTTTTCAGATCCTCAAACGGGCACGCGCAGCGGAGACACAGGTAAGTTTAAGTTTACTTACAGATATAGCAACTGGTCTTTTTGCTAATTGATGGCATTTCTTTATGGCAATTTATGGTGTTTCTTTATGGGAATTTATGGCGTTTCTTGTACATTTTATTATGTTCAGGGAAATACATTTTTATTTTTTTGTATTTCTTATTGATCAGGTTAATATGAAATAGTTGACAATTGTTTATTATTATTTTCATTTTGCAACCAACAGGTAGTATTCCTGAAGCTGGTTTCTACCACATCTGCTTAAAAACTAAAATCACTACTATGCTGTGAATAACAAAGTTATCTCCTGCCATTAAGGTCTACTTCCACTAAAAAAAGCAGTTTAATGAATCAGAGGTGTAACACAGTTTTATTTAGAGGCAGGAAAAAGTGAGCAGACATTGGTAGACTTTCTTACTAAAAAGCCCAATATGTTCTGAAAACAAAGTGTCATGAAAGTGCCTGTATCAAATGCTTAAACACATTCAGAAATTACATTTACTGTATATAAATAAATATATATATATAAGCTGGCAAGATTGTAGACAGTGTGTATGTGCACCTAGGTTTCTCACCTAAAATTGGTGAGGGGCTCCAGGATTTATGACTCACATGGAGAAAAAAACTTTTTGTTTTCTCAGAATCCTAAGTCCTGTTCTGGGCTCTAGATCCCAGAGATTCTGTGCCTGCCAATGCGTTAAGCCTGCCCCGCTTACCAGGGTTTTTTTGTTCCAATAACTTTAATGGCATCTGTATTTGAATGTAAAACATGCAGAAGATATATAATGAATATGGTATTTTGCATCCTTTTTCCTATACTTTACTCTTCTACCCCCAGCATGTCATTGCTGCTCAAAAGCTACATGATTTTCTAACATGCTGATTGCTAAAGGATTATTATTGCACATATAGAACACTGACTGCTTTCTCCCATTGACAACTAATGCTTTCAGAAGTGCAAAGGGCACATTTCATACTTGCTAATGCCATTTACTAAGTGGAAGCACATCACTTTTTATGCAGGAGAGTTGAATAAGAAGGGATTCAATAGGACAAGGTTATCAGCGGGTAATATTGGTTAGAATCGTTAGGCTATACTCAATGATTCACATGTCTGCTCTTTTCTCTACATCCAACACAACATGACATTTCAGAATTTTAAGCTTTGCAGAGCTTTAATTGGTACCTTAGAGAGAAAATGGTCATTCCAAGGGAGACACAGATTCTCCTTTGGCACCAATTTATCAAGCTCCCCATGCCAAGTAAGGCCACACAATGTGAGGGTGATTACCTTTTCTGAATATTGGTCTACAGATAAAATGTACAATTTGATCATCTTTTGGGTAAGATACTGTTGAATATAGGAACTGGATTTAATATGCTACAAGTTCATTTAGATTCTACGAGCTCAAATACACGCATATCAAACAAATCTATGCTATCCATCTTACATGCTGAATTATCCAAAACTGTTCTATTTCTGATGCCTAGTCCTCTTTTAAGCAATGGGTACTGTGAACCTCACTGACAAAATAATAATTTAATGTCAAAATGATCGCCCTGAAAAATTCAAAAGAAATCCGACAACGATACACAGTAGCTGAAAGGTTTAATTAGCCCATGGCTTGTATAGGCTAGCACTGAAAAATAGTTTGATGCTCTAAACTAGACAAGACGTGGATGTAGAGAGCCTGCAGCTTCTCCTTCTCCTATATATGTATATGTATATATATATTTAACTAAAGTGTTTAAAAATTGAAGTTTTACCCCCTAAAGAGGCCATAGCCTATATATTTGCCAATGCTTTGGTTTGTTGTGTTTTATTTACCTAATGTGATGTTTTATATTTGGGGTGAGGGTGACTTTTCGGACGTGCAATCCCTTGAAAAGACAAAAACAAGGGTTGGCTTATCCTTTCCACAAATTGGCATGCAGAGAAAAAGAAAAAAACTGAAATTTTCAGTGGTAGGTGTAGAGGCAAAGATGGGTAGATACGAAATGAGGGAAAGAGAGGAAGGGGAGTACGGTGCTGGCGGGGAGTCTCTCTCTTTTACAGCAGGCAAATCATAAACATTTGAAGCTTTTGGTGCAAAGCATAGGATGAAAGCCCTCTGTTAACCCTTAGGAACATGGCATGTGTGCATGTCAGTAAGATGTTGAGTTTCTTGTTAATAAAAAAAGGGTCAATATGTCGTTTCACTTCAGCAAATTGTGTGAGTTTCTTTTTCCATGCATGGCTAGTTTAATAGCTGAAAGTATAAAAATGATTAGTCAATACTGGGTTTCAGTAAGAATGAGGGTTTAGATTGAAGTGCCAACAAGGATCTTTTGGAGTTCAGGTGTTGAATATGTGCTCCAGAAGTTTACAGACCCTGGTCCACAACCTACGGAGCATTGGGTAAGTCTACCAGATATGTAAAACTTCTCCAGTGGCTTGACAACCGCTAAAGCATTGGTCAGACTGCCGAGGGTGAAAATGGGGAGAAATTAGTCTTCAAGTTTACAACAAAGACACTAAAATCTTCTCTATTCTTTGCTTTCTATTGTACCATATACTTGGCAGCCTGCCAACCCTTTAATGTAAACACACACCAGGTGTTTCTAAACAGTTAGAAATTGACTGTCACTGAGCATGATTCCTATAAATAATTGTATATTATATTGTTAAAGCCATTGCAGCATGTTAAAAAAAAAGCTCTTGCTATCTCTGGTTTGTTAACTGG